CCCAGCGATGTTAAAACCAACCCCAAACCGGGGGTAAGATCTAACAAGTGACTTGTTTGGCAAAACTCGATTTTTCTCAGATATGGTAATTATTATATACATTTTGTTGTACTTTACGTAAAGCTCATTAAATTTGACATCACGTACCAAAAAACCATGTTTCTTGCTAAAGCAGTTTAGAAAATATTACGCTCAAATCAAAATTTGTTAGGACCAGCCCCAGTCTCCCCTACCACAGGAGATAACTACACCATAACACTAGCACTATTGGAAACTATATGCCTGGCACTTTAACCTTTTTCGCGAATATTGGTTGGCACTTGAAGGGATATCTGTGATTGCGCGCACTTTATCCATTCATCTAACCTTACCGCTAACTTTTTACCTGTAGTTTTAATAGTTTTAAGTTTTATAAATAAGTTTGCGGTCAGATATTTTTAAAATTTTTAATAGGGAAGGCGTATTCGTATTGTTCGAAAAGACCGAATAATTACATAGATGCTATTCGAATAATAAATGTGGCGAATATCCGAATAATATGGATATCCGGATATCCGAATTGCATGCCCTACATATGTCTCAAAATATATTTTTTGCAAGTACGAGATACTTGCAAAAATACTTTCTATTACTCGTATTTATGTTACATGTAACTATTATCAGTAAATTGTAGAGCTGAAAATTCTGTACATACTCGTATGTTTTGTGGTTAACCGAAGCGAGCGCGTCGTGTGGGGTCTTTTACAAGGAAAATCTATTTTTTTTTTCAAAACTCACCCTTTATCAGCCTGTCGTAGAGTGCAAGCCTCAACTTTTCCACTTGGTCGGCCAGCAGTCCAGCAGTGAACGCCGGGAAGAACAGTATCAGCAGCTGTTGAGCGACTACCGCGTACGCTACTATCGCGTAGAACGTCTCCTTTAGGGTGTTCTGAAATAAATTGATGACTTGAGACGTTTCTATGAAATTTTGATGAATATAGGAAAAAATAATGGCTCAAACTGTCTTCACCTTTTCAGGTTTACGAACTGATCTTTGAAACTCTCGGCTTTTTTCATGACAAAAAGTACTAAAGCCCGGTCTGTGAGCACGTAGAATTTGGTCCAATGACCCCAAGCTACCCATCCTTATCGCTCGCGGGTAATTATATTGCTGTCGCGACTGTGCGAATAAGGATGGGTAGCTTGGGGTCATTGGACAAAATTCTACGTGCTCGCAGACAAGACTAGCCTATGTTTGAATGATCAAACGAACTTACCAAGTGAAGTTCGATCTAAATTATCCTGTTTTCGCCGAAGAGATTTAAGTCACCATGTAGTACCCCTGTACGACAACCCAATCCGCACACAATATTCAGCGTAGTAGTAGTAAAAAACAAAAGAGCGGGCAACCCCACCCCTACCACGCTGTGGGCTCGGTGTCCGAGCGGTCTCATTATATTTAGAGAAGAGATGACATTGACGTTTACCTCCAGGGAAGAAGATATAGAAATCTTCGGGTTGGGAGGGACCTTAAATCTCTTCGGCGAAAACAGGATAATTTAGATCGAACTTCACTTGGTAAGTTCGTTTGATCATTCAATTGTTGGGTCTAATTCTCGTCACTACACTGCACAACTTAAAATAATTACGTTTTTTGTCGGTAAAAACGTCCTGGTGACGTCACTTAAGCATTTTTCTTATACTGCGTGCGGTCGTTGCGCGTGCGCACAAAGGAATGAGACCGCTCGGACACCGAGCCCACAGCGTGGTAGGGGTGGGGTTGCCCGCTCTTTTGTTTTTTACTACTACTACGCTGAATATTGTGTGCGGATTGGGTTGTCGTACAGGGGTACTACATGGTGAAATAAATCTCGGAGGCGAAAGCAGGATAATTATGTGCAATCAATCTCTTCACTAAAACTCGTTCGTTAGAATTCATTCAATGAAATGAAAAAGCATTAAGTTCGCCTAATGTTAAAATTTTGGCATTGAAGTTAAATAATTAAAAGGCAACAGACAGTTAGTTATAGATCGTGTCATCCACGAAGACGCGGTCCACAACTTTTTCGTCGAGGTAAGCGCGGGGTGCGGGAAGTTAGATCCGAGCAATCCGAGCGTCATTATTGTAGTGTGCGTGTGCACTCATGGATGCGTCATTATTGTTGTACTCATCTCGGGTCAAACTCCCCGCACCCCGCGCTTCCCTACGCGACCAAAAAGTGGTGGGGTGCGTCTTTATGGATGAAACGATCTACATTTTCGCATTATAATGGATTTACCGGTAGAGGAGCCTTGTCTGCAAACGGGTAGTAAACGTGCAATATTGCATCCGTGGTGTTGGCCAATAGAGTCAAGATGAGCTGAAATTAATAAAATAAATGAATAAACAGACCAGGGGCCCTAAATAAGTGCAAGCGAAGGTCAAATCAAGCTCTGAAAACTACATAGGTACAAAAAAAAAAACGCTAGAGCGATGAAGAGCGATGACCTTTCGAAATTACAACTGTCACGTTTTGCCACTTGTGTTTGGTTATTTTTGTTTTATGGTTCCGTACCTCAAAAGGAAAATCCCATAGGATCACTTATTGTCCGTGAGTCTGAATGTCAAGAACCTTTAACTCGGGAACGCGTGGAGGTATCGAGTTAAAATTAAAACGATATACCTACCTACTTAGGTCTACAGGCACAGATACAACTTACCACCCAATCAAACGATTTCTTCGCTTTTTCAACCATCTCAGCCAAGTTTTTGTACAGATAATGGCACGATACAATGTCGACATCATCCTTTTTTACGAACAACGTAAAACTTTTCATTCGCTCGTACGCATAGCTGAACACGTACGCGTACACTAGCAATACAATATCACTGGCTAACAAAACTAAATAGTATAATACCTGGTTGTATAAAGGAAACTGTATGAAATCGAGAGAAAGTGCATAAAAAGTTGCAAATGAACCACATCTATACATTACTAACATGGCAAACCACACAATTATCTTGTATTCGACGTTGTAGGAGTAGCTATCTACGAATATTTCTGCATCGAATGAGTAAAGGTCGATTTGGTAGTCATGAAATGTATTTTTCATCAGCACTAAATTAAATATAAGGATATAATACACCAATATATCTACGAAGTATTGGCAATATGTAATGAAGTTTTTAGAATTTGGATCGAAAAACGCAAATGTTAGGTTCACGAAAAATATCGAAGAATGTGTTAACGTTAAAAATTTAACAAAAACGTTAGTTTTCCACGATTTAAATTTAACAAAGCCGAAATCTAATGCGAACACAACGTGTAACATGACAAAGAAATATTTTATTGTTTTAGTTATAGGTTTCGTTTCAATTGACGGTTTTACAAGGAAATACAGTTTTGGGGTGATAGGTTTAGTCGCCATATTGATATTTATTTTATTTGTGTTTTATACAGTGTCTTATGTGGATGACGAGTAATATAATTATGAAGAGAGCGAATAAGTAGGCGGTAGTGGTAGGAATGAGGCTATTTCATAAATTGGGTGCTAAGTAAACTAATAATATAAGAAGCTTTGCTATCCATCACATCTATTAAGCAAAAAGAAAAGTACCTACTTTAATTAAGAATATTAAGTGATTAAAACAGTAATTTAATTACTTACATGTTATCTACCTACATCTAAATTACAAACCTATCCAGAAGGAATGAATATTTTAAGTTCAATCTGGAACCACTTCTGGGTATGCGCCTACTCCAAATGAGGCCACCCACCACGTCTCAGGTTGAGTTGCACCACCTAACTTTAACGTTAACTATAACGGTGCTTTTTGTATGGAGACTGACAGATTTTGACGTTTGTTAAAGTTAAAGTAAAATGGTGCAACCAGCCTTAAGGTCTGATGCTTTGAATAAATTGCAAAATTGCAATTGCAAATTGCATAAACAATAATGTAAGTACAAATTTTCGGAAAAGTCGGTGATTTGTAGTTCGTCGTACTTTCGTAGTAAGGAGTCTACGTCGTAGCAAGTAGACTACGACTACTATTTTCGTAGCACTACAGTCGTAGGCGTCGTAGCAACACGACTACGGAAATTACGGTAATGTTGCTACATGCTACATGAGCGGAGTACTACGGGACTACGACTTGCTACAATTGAGATTTCGAAAATAAGTCGGTTGAGATCAAAATTATACATAGGTAAATGTATACATAAATGTATGGTAATAATAACAAACATTAGATTTAGCAACCGGCATTTTTTTCTTGTTATTACTCAAAAGTCCATTGAATTTTAATACGCACTGACCTCAATTAAACTTGATCTAATATCTGATACTACATAATTAATATACCACGTATTTAAACGACCACTAGAAATAATATGTTTTTAATGGTATTTTTAGTCATTTTAACTGGTCAATAATTACTTTTACTTTAAAATAGAAAATAGTCACTACGTGCCACACGTTGCTCAAAAATTCTTGAGTATCGACTTATTTTTACATTCAAATAATAATGTCAATAAATAATGAAAATATTGATTTTGAAATAACGAAAAGTTTGAGATACTTTTTCGTCACGCTTTATTTTGTTTTGGGTTTAGATTTCGGTTTCGTGAGAGCTTCATCGAAAACTGTATTAATCCACATTATTTATTGTTTTGTTCATATGATCGGTGTGTGCATTAATGTAGTGGTTATATTAATATTTACAGAGACCGACACTTTCTTTGTAGTCTGGCTTGTATCGTTGCTAGTTCAACATGTTGTGAACAGCGGTGTTTTAATTTTTGCAAATGCTACCAGTAGCTTCTATGGTTTACATAAGTCGTTGATTGCAATCGATGGGAAGTTAGGTATCAAAAGTTTACAATACGTGGAAAACCATCTCGTTATATCTTGCCTAATATCTGTAGGTTATAGATCTGTGTCTACGTATCTATTTTGCACGCGATACTCAGATGAATGTGTGAAATCTGTATTCAGTGCGATAATCGCCTTCATGCAAGTCATATCTGTGGATATTGCCCTCATCGTATTTTTTTTCATCTTTTACGGTGTCTACCTTCGTTTGAAAGTGTTCGTTGTGTTCGTGAAAAACAACGATGGTCGTGTTTCGGACTGTATAGACATTTATAAAAGCATCGTGGATACTGTGGATAATATTCGGAAGCCAATTAATATTGTGGTATTAAGTAGGTACGAATACTAGAATTAACACAATCTGTATGTCATTTTCTGAAACCTAAAGCGCACGCTAGACTCTTGCAATAATTACCTAGGGTGTTTATTTTTATTAAAAAAAATGTGATTGGACTTAAGAACATGCGTGCACAGGTGACGTTTTTAACGAAAGATTATGGTAAGGCGCGTGTTGAGGAAAACCTGTATCAGTAGGTAAACAGTATACAGGCCTATACAGTGGACTGTATTAACTTGACGATGTTATTTATTTTTCAGTATGCTACTGTTATGTTTTTTTTGACGCCAGGATTGGTAATAACATCTTACATTGGTCTGTTAAAATTAAAGAGTTATAATGGAGAAGTCACTTTCGTAAGTACCTCCACGTATTATTTTTACTTGTAGATAAATTAATAATTAGGCGATTATCACACTGCGCGGCGCTCCGCCGCGGTGTGCGGGACGACAGATTTAATCATAGTGTGCAAGTACCTCAGTTTGTATAGAAAACACGCGCGGCACAACACACTGACAACGCGTCTGCGCGCGGGATTTTTTATATGAAATCACGCGGACCGCGGCGGAGCGCGGCGCAGTGTGATAATCGCCGTATGTAATTCTTTGTAAGTATTTAAGTGGGTATATTTAATCTTTTGTGGTATCGAGCCTTGCTTACAACTTAGTCGAGTTAACTGCACACCTGGCGGCCGTGACGTCACATCGACGCTCTGGTACGGACGGGGCCAACGCGGGGAGGTGGAGGGTAAGTGGGAGGGAGAGTCGCATTCCAGCGAGGTGCGAGTTAGTTTGATAGGGTTGTAGTTTGAAATTAGAAGGCGCAGTGTAATAAATACTCGTATTAAAATATCTAAGAACTTTTTTTTCTGTTTCAGCGATACCTCTTTGACTGCTTTTGCAGGATTATGTATTGTTCACAAGATTTTGGACTGTTGTTTATACCTGCGATATCGGCCGGCCTACTAACTTGCAAAGCTGAAGAGCTGTCAGTCACCCTGCATGATAGATTACTGCAAGAACGATGTAAGTAAATTGGGTAGGTACTATCGGGGACTCGGACGCCTTGACACCTTAAGGGCCTAAATTGTTTGCACACACACGCTCGATTAAGCTACGCCCCTATTCATTCATGTTTCGGGTCTAAGCAGCGTCGGCGCACCACTGTAGATGTTTGCCCTAGCAAACCAAGCTCTATGTAAAGCGTTTAGGATTGAGTATTGCTTATTACCCGCATCCGTAGCGCTCGTTTGGCAACGTCGCACTTTAGTAAATTTGAAACCCAATAAAGAATCGCTACAAAATATTATTTGGGGCTTCGTGTAAAAATTGAACTAGCGATTGCCCGCTCGGGTCACAAAATTGCTATCGCACATTCCGAGGTAACTGTGCAATTTCCTGAGAAAAAAGTAGCCCTTTCTATAATTATTATTGTTGATATTTAGATTGTAAATCTCATGATATTAGTTTAGCTAGTTAAGGCGAGTAATGCAAAATCATACAGTCACTCTCGAATTTTACTTGTTTAATAGGTATTTAATTTATTCGGAACTTATAATTTATAAACTATATGTTATTGAATTAATTAGGAAATAGTTAAGGAATATTTGTGGCTTAAAAACAATTATTGTAAGATCTGGCTACATAATAACTTTCTTAAATCCTTGAATGTAAATAAAAACCTATAATAGGTTTATTACATTTATTTTTAATACATTAGGAACTTTTGTTTTCCGTTTAAAAGAAACACTTATCTACGTTATTACAATTTAATACAAATATTGTAACTAGGTAGCAATGATCCATGTAATTGGTTATTATAAATATTATAATATTAAGTTAGTTTTATTTCAAATTAATTTTTTTATTGCACATTAAGTGTCTTTACACAATGAAAATTAAACTTCAAACTAAATAATACTTAAACAGTTAACAATGTATCTAATAGATAACTTTGTAATTAAATATAAGAATTAAGAATTATTTTGAGAGGCCATGATTCAGTAATCGCGCGGAGGTCAATAAAAAGGCAATCAAATAGTCCAATTACTAGCACGGGTCAACACAAAACAAAATCAATCGGTTAGGGATCACAAAACTTCACAAAAAACAAAGGAGAGAATATGTCGACAGTTCGCCAAAGCAAAAAGCAGACAGACCTCGTATAAAAATACAATATAAAAAAAATACATATTTGTTTGTAACCAAATTATATTATTAAAATTCTAAAGCTGAGTTGCACCATCTTACTTTAACTTTGACAAACGTCAAAAATCTGTTAAACTCCATGCNAGACGTAAACGCTCTTAAGATAGCTACATTATTTTTAATGATGTCAATATAACCTTTTTATTACCTTGAACTTGACTTTAGAGCAGAACTCAGTGACCGCCATTTTTTTTCGTAAATTAGATTTTCATTTTATCAGGGCTTTGAAAGTTTGAAAAATTGTCGATCATAACTTTTGAATTATTATTAAAAGAAGCTGTCAGTTGATACCTATCTACTTCAGCTTCACTAACAGGCCTTTTAAAATTAAAAGACCGAATTAATTCAGTGAAGTTGAAATTAAGTCTTACGGCACTTTTACTCAAATGATTGCTGAAACGTAGAATAAATGAAAAGACAATTTCACTGACGATTAATTGTCTAATTGGCCGATTGATTTCAGTAAGTAACACTAGACAAAATAATCGTACAAACAAATGATTGCCCACGCTATTTCTCATAGCTTAGGGCAAAAAACTTTTAGGACTTGGGTAGTGCTAATATCGGTAATTAGGCATTAAGAAAACAACTCAGAAAGAAGAATGAAAACGATAATAATTAGTTTTAGCACATAATAATAATAATTACTACGTACAGAAGTTTTACTTCGCGAAGGTATTTAAAAAAATGTATGCTCAATGTCATTAACAATATGGTGTAATTTAGCCTGTTTCAAGAGTCAAGTACCATTTTGTTGACAAACGTCAGTGATCGGCACTGCGCCGAAGCTATAGGGCTGACTTCGGTTAAATGATGTGACGTGAGGTGCCAAACTGCGGAAAATGGCGGAGGAAATACATGATTTAGCATGAATTATCATGAATAATATTAACTACTTATTTACCTGTCAGTGTCTCGAGGAAACTTAAAAAAATACATTCTGTGTTTTTATTATTATTTAGGCAGTTAAATACTGCACAGTATTTAGTACACCATTTTCTTTATTTTCTTCCATCATACACAAGAATACGCGTGCGTGAGTCAATGTTCGCTCGTATGTGAGGCCTTGTCGAATAGTATCCTGTAGGTGGGCCATCGTGCGTATTTTGTTCTCGATGTAAGCTCGCGGAGATGAACAGGCCTGGTTTTAGGCTACCGATGTTACGGGTGCTTATTGTTTCTTATTAACTTTATTTAAGACTCACTATTATTTAACTGTCAAAGAATTACATTTTAGGGTCTCATTAGACTGTTCGATGCGTCGTTAGGCCCATTTACCCCCGGAGTCAGTGGGACTTGCTAATTTTGGGACAACCTGTACGTACATGTTCAACAAATTACGTTTTATATGCTCGACTCAAATTCTTGGCCATTTTTATGAAGTAGTTTTATCTGTAGAATCAGCAGAAGATTTATTTACTGCGAAAAGGATCAGTCTCTTGTTAAAATAACACCTAACTGTTATGATTGCATTACTGCAGTCAGACGAATAACGGGCGTAATGCGCCAGGCCAGGGTTTCTCAAAGTGGAGTACGCGAACCCCTAGGGGTTCGGCATTCGACGCTAGGGGGTTCGCGACAAGATTTACGTATTATTGGCAGAATTTTAAGCTTGAAATGTTGTCCAAAATTATTCGTAAAATTGATTCCATTTTCGACAAGAAACAGGCACACCTATCACATATTAAAAAGACATTTCTTTGGCACTTTATTTGACACAATTTAATGAAATCAAGTAATACCAAATTTTTCTTCATTAGTCAATTTTATTATTGGGGGGGGGGAGGGGGGAGGGGGACGACGACTTAAATAGCTAGTTAAGGGATTCGCTGTTCTCTGGAAACTTTAACAGGGGTTCGGAGCGACCGTGATGAGAAAGTTTGAGAAACCGTGCGCTAGGCGATAGTGAGTGAGCACCGCAAGTCAGCCGGAACATTGAGTTGGCGGGGATTAGGGCTCAAATTGGATTCTGGTCTGGACTCGGTACGTCCAATTACCTGCGATTATATGTGGCGTGCATATTGCATGCTGAATTATTAAGCTGAGGCTAATTTAAACGTATCTCCTTAGTTTAATATTAATTGACATACTTGATTCTACTAACTTTAACGATAACCTGTGTTTTTTGTATGGAGTTTGATAGATTTTTGACGTTTGTTAAAGTTGAAATAAGATGGTGCAACCCAGCCTTAGTATTGTTGGTTCAAATGTTTTGGACATGATTTTTTCGGTTCGTTTTTCGTTACTCAAACGTGGATGTAGAATTTAATTAAACCGTATGTTGCTCATATGCAGTTGGCAAACATCCGAAGTGTTTCAAAGCTGTGTAGCTACGGTAGATTGAAAACGTTCAACATTTTTTGCTGAGAAGTATGACAAACATGTTTTACTTTGCCCTTTAATATCAAGACAAATAACACCCTAAAGATAAGGAGAATACAAACCAGTACTTTCGAGTCATAAATCTTTTTATTGAAATTGTACCTATTGAAAAATTATCAAGTCAGTTGACTTATACCTAAACCTCTTTGTGGTACAGTGAGCGTCAAACAGTTCGTGACACCGGAAGTTGCCAAAAAGTTGACAACACAACCTGATTTCAATGAGGGTTTTCGCGTATGAAAGATCCGCTAGATGGCGGGACGTGGATGTGGGGTCTGACGGCGGCGTGATTGGTGGATTTTGACATATCTGTCAATGTCATGTCAAATATAACCAATCATGCAGCATTTGGACCTCGCGTCTACGTATTGCCATCTGGCGGATTTTTCATACGCGAAAACCCTCATTGTAACTCGGGTGTCACGAATTGTTTGACGCTGACTGTATTTCTAAAAAGTGTTTGAAAATTAGTTTTTTGGCCTTATAATCTATTATATAAAAATAAGTCGGGTTTTCCTCCCTGACGCTATAACTCCAGAACGCACGAACCGATTTCCACGGTTTTGCATTCGTTGGAAAGGTCTCGGGCTCCGTGAGGTTTATAGCAAAGAAAATTCGGGAAAAGGGGGTAAAACGGGATCCACGCGAACGAAGTCGCGGGCGGCCGCTAGTCTCATCTAAATCGTTGTCCGATTCCAAATTTCATATTTGAAACAACCGCACCGGAAATTTCTAACACGGTCAATATTAGAGGTAGTTAAAAACGCCCGCATCAGTTGTCTGGACGCTCGGGCGTTACGCATCGGGGGCAATCGAGTTACGTGTTGACGAGAACTCTGGCGGTTTATACGAACACTAATGATGTTTAGTCGTTGACGTTACGGAATTAGCCCCCTCCGCTTGATCAGGCGGGAAACTTTATTACCGGGCGTTAATAGGAATACGCTTGCATTTTGGACGCGTTTTGAATGGCTTCTCTGATAAATGATTATCATAAAAGATTATCGTCAATCATTTTTTTTATCCACAGCGAGGAAGCTCACTTAGTCTTGAAGGAAAGGCTGAAGGTGGAATCGAGCTCCAACCGCAATCCTCAACCACAGAGGAAAATGAAAATATACAGCCACATAGATGCCAGAGCATCACTTGAGATCGACTCAAACATTTATGGGAAAATGTAATTAGCTAAGCTTTTTTCTTGTGTTTCAACGTCGTATTCAAAACAGTCCGAAACTCAGATAGTGTTTTAAATACTATTTAACATGTTAGTTCTACAGATCAAAGAAGTAAGTAAATTATTAGAAAACAACGCCAAGTAAACTCGAGTTAACTTTAGCATAGACGGGGCTGTTGATTGGTTGAATATCCAACCAATCACTGAACAGAATCTATGACATTGCTAGTACATAGTCAATTTAGATGGTATCTAGCCTTTACATAACTGGTCTAGAACCCTGGATTTAAATTCGTCGGCGCTCGTAACTGTCGTGTATAAAGGAAAATTGGGTTACTGCTGATGGGCAGCTTGTTTAGCAATGTAATCCAAAATTGAAGTGTATACTGCACGAATTAAATACTCGTACACAACGGGGTAAAGTTAGTTGTTCAGACTATGTTGTAATAGAAAAATATTTGATTAAACTAGCTGAGGTTTTTTCGCTTGCGGATGAAAGTAGAAAGTATTTTTAATAACCGCACCAATGCGAATGTAATGGCGAGCTAACTAATGTTTACTTATTTTATTTTATTACTTTTGTTAGGGTCATCTTTCTAAACATCTTTGATTAGGGTCAGTTTCTTGCACGCATGCACAGAGTTGACCGCCATCAGGGAAAGATCGCAAGGCGAGCAACATCCGCCCATGACCATGGCCTATCACAATTCATGAAGACGATGACCAGTCTGCAAAGTGTGTAACAGAGAAGAAGTTACTAACCTTTCCCTCCAACTTGCGGTCTCTGAAGGTGAGCGTGAATGGTCGGCAGTGCTCGGCGCGCAGGCGGTCGATGGAGCGAGCATCGATGGCCTTCATCAGGTACTCGTTCACTTCATCCTCTGGCTTCTTGTTCTCGCTGGCTGAGTCCACGCCGATCCTGCTAGGGAAAACGCGCTCAGAGGGCTTATTGTGAGTTTGCATCAAACGTCCTCACTAGTGAATCGTAAAAAAATGACATTAAATGTGTGACGGATTGTACAGCACCCCTAGTAGAAACTTTCAAGAACTAAGATTTTCATATTTTTTTTAATGCACTCACTAGTGAGGGAATTTGATGTGCCACTCAGCCCTCAGAGCCGAAACACAACATGCGTTGCGGCGCCGCACCGCAAAAATTACGCGTATCACGTGTGTGTGCCCGCCACAGATATTTCTATGTAGGACGACTCAGCGACACAGTTCCGGCACCGCAACGAATCTTGTGCTTTGGCTATCAGTAAATTTGATATCTGTATAAGTAGCATCAAAATGTAGGATGCGTAATGGGATGGGCTGTCTCAGCAATGTAAAAGTAGTCGACCTGTCGACACTTGTGTTCATAAGACCCATTTTCATTGCAAAATGGCACCTTTTAAAACGAGTAGGTACGAGTACTACATCAGATACCACAGAGTTAATCTCGAAGTACCGTCACATTGTCCATACTATAAAGTCTGTTTTTACGATAAACTAAGTGGCGGTTGTGCAAAAATACCGACAATATCAGTAATGAAACATGTATTTATCGTAAATCGAGTTCACTGAACCCAATCAAATCAAATTCCAATACGTCACATTACTCCAGACAAGTTTTAACTGTGGAATCTAACTCCCAAAGTTCGAATCAAAGTAAAGATCACTTCACACGCACAGTAAATAGTAGGTAGTAACATAATCGTTACAAGTTCTATGAACAATAGACTTTCTGAAATATTTTGTCTGCGTTAGTAAAGTTGTCCCCTATTTACTGCAATCCTGTATTTTTTCCATTCTTAGTAACTTAAAGGTAGCTTGAACATCAAATTATGTATCAAACAACAACAAAGATGAAAAATTCAAAACGTTGGAGGCATTCAGGCTCAAAGTATCAAAGCAAGGATTCTAAATAAAGGACAAACTGTTTAGTCTCTAGTAGATTACTTGGGCGCAATGTATTAAAATATAGTGATCATCCGACTACAAAAATCAACTTTATTAAAGTTAACATCCTCGTAAAGGCAAGTACAAAATGCAAACACTTTAACTCCACATTTTTAACTTTTTACCCCATGCTGTTAAGGAAAACAAGAATTTAGATTGAAGAATACCGTCGGAAAATAACCAAGGTGAAGTCAACAACTATGATTATTAAAAATATTAAAGTAGGTACCCTACAATTTTTTGCAAAACCGTTTTCTCGACGAAGCGGTTCTTATGAAGCCTGCGGGGAATTATAATTAAACTGACATGTTTTAGTATCCCGCCCGTCCTGAACGTATCCTGTTCAGGACTTGTAGTATCAACTTGAATATCTGAAATTTTCTGCAAAACATGGTAGGTAGCATTTTAATTTGTTGAGGGTAAAGTTTTTCATTTTAATGACAACTAGCGACTGTTACGATAAAAGGTAAGACAATTCACCGTGTGAATTTTACTTTAGTGTTCCCTTGTTGAACACGACACGCAAATAACTTCCCCCAAAGCCCGCGGCGTGGCGTGAGTCCCGGTGCTTAATTGAAATCTCAAAGTTGTAAACTTGACTCGATCTGACCTGAACATTATTCTGCTCGCTTCCCATGCTCGATTAAAGGCAAATTTTTACAACTTCAATTAGGAGTTGTGAAAGTTTAACAAGCTTAGCCCGCGTGTTTGCTAATTTCCTAATTTCAAAGTTGCGTCTTCATGTACATGTTCAAACCTGACTGACTTTTATCTGATGTTGCTATTGTTTGTTTTACGTTTACATTAAAACGAGTGCGAAAAGGTTTTTAATTACTTTTTGTAAAAACGGCCGACAAATGCCGTTTGGTTTAATGGTTCAGAACGGACTATTATGCCAAGAGGCCCGGGTTCGATTCTCGATCGGGTAGATTATTGAAATGATGAACTTTAATTTCTGTGACGGGTCTAGGTGTTACATGTGTAATTATGTAGGTATGTATTAAAAAGAGTGTGAAATTGTCCAAAGAAAGCGGTTAAAAACCAACCGCCGACTTTGACGACCACTGTTACGTTAAACAACGTGTGTTTGATGTTAATTATCATTTACCATAATTATTTGAATGTATACTCCTGAAATAAAATGCTTGGTATAATAAACTAGACACTTACTTAGATGAGTTCTTGCCATGCTGTGAGCCATGTCCCATTACCCGCATCTCCTTGGAGACATTTCCGTTGATCGAGAAGCTGTGTTGTGGTTTCTTGTCCTGTTTCAAACAAAAAACTACTTTAATACACTTGCATTTAATTTGAAAACAAGTTGACCGGTTCAATTCGTTTCATTCCACAACGCCTGTGACTGAAAGCTCGCTGATTGAAAATATGAATCACAATACGTAAAAATAAAAATACACAAAGTCCCCATGGCTATGTATCGAACGGGATTTTTGAATCCATGCCTCGAATCAGAAAATTACTGATACCTTACTAATTAAAACCCTACATACGATCCTATCGTAACGTCAAAGTCTTATGGGTATAAAATGTTTAATTGCATAATCAATAGCAGTCCACATCCGTCCGTTGCTGTATAAATCCTCCTTCAATACACGCTCTACTGAGCTCAATCTTGGGTTCGCTCTGTCAACAACTTCGCCTCATTTGCATGTGTCCTGCTGAAATTGCCTGTGGCTGTTTAGCACCGACATCTTCCAGGGCCCCAGGGCTTTCAGTGTCCCGAAGTATAAGTTTATATTGGATACACTAAACAAGAACTAAGTTTGACGGTACATCTGAAGTAGTAGTGCATCCGTTAACCCTATTGCTAGCCTGATAGAAACATAAGCTTATACGGGGTGGCTGGAGAGGCTAAAGTAGTTTTTTTTTGTTGGCTATCTGTAATTTGTTGTGTTCCGGTAGTTAGAGGTAAGATAGCCAGTTCCTCCGTGGTTGAGGATTCCGGGTGAAGCTTGCTTCCACCTTCAGCCTGATCGTTACTTACCATCAGGTGAGATACAAGCCAAGAGCTTCCTCGTTGTGAATTTAAAAAAAAATATTGTCTTCATAGGTAGGTATCTATATTTTGAAAAGCTGACCACCATTTGATGATTACGGTTGTAGCAGCTGACGCTATACTAAACAAATGTAAGTAATTGTTTAATATTGATGTATCTACATTCTATACTTATGTCTCCGAAGATCTTCTAAAAGATGGATTCAAATCCCTAGTTTTGCATTGAACCGTAGTTCTTTGCCATCCTACATAAGAATAGAAAATTCTTCAGAGTATGTGGGGTATCCTTTCGCCTATTTATACTAGCATACATTAGAATAAGTAGATTACACACTTACGTTTACGTCGAAGCAACTCTAACAAAACTTCATTCTGTATTCAAATTCAAAGATGCTTTAATTGAGGCTTCGCTTTCATCGCGTTCTAAAATTAATACTATCTGTGACTCGAGAGGTTATTGCATTATGGCTGATTTACACGTATTAAGGCGATTAGTGTCCTCAATCCGCGTGAAATGGTCATTTTGTAAAGCCTACTCCTCTTTTACTGCTGGACAGAAATAGTTGAAAAAAATATATGTTATACAACAGGTCAAGGACTACATTTGACACGTTTGAATTTTTCCTACGTCTCTTTGTTGTGGATTAAAANGCTACGGTCAAAGTTAGGTGGTGCAACTCAGCCTAAAACTAAGAAAGATTGAAGAAAAAGAAACATTTCGTTTTAAACCTTAACCGTATGACAATAAAGTGCACAATGGTATTTCGTATTGCAACCTAAGCCCTGATTGTCTCTTATTGGTCGTAGTAAAAATATAGTAAAATGCGTAACCAATTAGAGACGGGGTGAGCACGTGACCGGAGCGATGCGCTTACGCTAAAATTTCTACAAAGTGGTCAGGCGGAAGAGTCCCCGATAGTACCTATTTGAGAGCGTAGGTAGACCAATTCGAATGGTTCGGTTTTTGTGTGTCACTGCAAACGGTGTTCGTGTGAATGTTAATAATAAAACACGTTTAGGTACTAATAAACGGGATCCTGCAAAAAATGGGATGTCTCTGTTGAAAAGAGTCTTAATTACAATACAATGTACCGTGATAGATATTCTCTTTAATGAATGAATGTAAATCGTCGATCCGATTGAGCCATAATCTCACGCTCCTACCCTACTAGCGTTTTACGAGCTGTGGCGTTTTTCGAAAGCCTGCGTAGCGTTTATGCACAGGTTTATGCGCGCACGCACGACGTGTTGACAGTAGTCTCTCTTTTTCTTTTTGCAAAGGTGTAAAAGAAACCGACGTGATCACGGATAATATTGTCACGGCGACAAAAAAGTCACCCATGCGCGCGCTTTCTTAAAAACGCTTTTATATCGCCAGTGGGACAGCAGCCTTATGCTGCAGCTGGGGCAATGTTCACAAATGTTTCTTTGATTCACTTTTTCAACATTACTGTTTCTTTCGATACAGCCGAAGACCACGCAGGTGCCTTAGAGCTGTTCATCTCATACATAGCGGCGCGGCCACTAAAGCTCACCGTGTTTGAAGTGATCAGGCTGGACTGGTCACTGCCTGTCACCATCCTGAACCTCTGCATCACGTACCAGATCGTGGTGGTGCAGCTTACACATGTGTATTAAGCATTAGCCACACATTTTGCTGTAATATCTACTTAATTAAGGTAAGGTACATTTATCTACAACATAAATGAAGATCACATAAAAGAGCTTTTAATGACTAGATTATTTTCTAAAGAAGCGACAATAGCCCAAAGGACCTGGAGTCCTGAAATACAGGATTATCCTGAAATACAGGTTTAGGCTGCAGTTCACCTAAACAGCGCCAACAAAATATTGTAATACAACAAATTGTATTTGGTGAAAAATAAAAAAATATTTTTTTTACAAAGGTGTCGGTGTCGGGTTAGATCCAAAGAACGCAGGTACGAACCGGGTTGATTATTGTGGTCAGTGGCGGATTAACGTATAAGCACTACAAGCACGTGCTTGGGGCCCCTGTTCTCCAGGGGCCTCCATCCTCTGCTGGCGTTTCATTTCATACCTACACTTAGGGTTCTTCGTCTTTCTTTCTTTTCTGCCAAATGACGTCCACTGCTGGACAAAGGCCTCCCCCAAGGTTTTCCACAATGAACGGTCCTGCGCTGCCCGCATCCAGGCTCTTCCCGCGACCTTTACCAGATCGTCGGTCCACCTAGTAGGAGGCCTGCCCACGCTACGTCTTCCAGCCCGTGGTCGCCACTCGAGAACTTTCCTGCCCCTGTCCTGTCCTGTCTCTACGAGCTATGTGCCCCGCCCACTGCCACTTGATTTTAGCAATTCTGCGAGCTATGTCGGTTACTTTGGTTCTCCTGCGGATCTCCTCATTTCTGATTCGATGACCCTTTGGGTGATCTTGAGCCTTCTTATGAGGCCCATAGTAAGCGACCACGTCTCAGATCCGTATACCATCACTGGCAACACACATTAGTCAAATACTTTCGACTTGAGACACTGCGGTATTTCGGACGTGAGTATATGGCGAAGCTTCCCGAACGCTGCCCATCCGTTGGATTCGACGATTGACCTCTTTCTCGAAGTTGGACCTACCTAACTGGACTGTTTGTCCCAGGTATACATAATTGTCAACAACTTCGAGTGTAGAGTCTCCAACCTTCAGAGGAGTGGGTGCAACACGGACATTAGACATGATTTTTGTCTTGTCCATGTTCATTCTGAGGCCCACTTGTTGAGAGGCTCTACTGAGGCCATCGAGCATTGTGCCTAGATCCTCCAAGGTCTCAGCCATGACTACGATATCGTCCGCGAATCGAAGGTGGGTGATGTACTCGCCGTTGATATTTATGCCAAATCCGTTCCAGTCCAGAAGCTTAAAGACATCTTCCAGGGCGGTGGTAAACAGTTTTGGAGATATGACGTCTCCCTTTTCCCCCTCGCTGCAACTGGATAGGTTTCGAGTCCCGATCCTGGAGGCGGACCGACATTGTGGCGTTTTTGTACAAACCCCTTCAACACTTCGATATATCGATAGTCAATTTGGCACCTTTGGAGAGACTGTAGCACTGCCCAGGTCTCGACCGAATCGAAGGCTTTCTCATAATCCACAAACGCCAGACAAAGTGGTTGATTATACTCCTCGGTCTTCTGTATAATCTGCCTTAGCGTATGTATGTGGTCTATGGTACTAAAGCCGATTTTTGCAACTCGAGCCGAAAGCTTTCGGGGTTTTGGAGTTGGATGGGCGCTGGGCGGAGCGTAGACTTCATCAGTCGACATCTCTCGAGCTTGGGTCTGATATTCAATGTGCCTCTTACCATTCGGTGATCGCTTCCTGTTTTGACCTTAGGGTTGCCAGGTCCAAAATCACAAAAGCCGGACTTCGTGCTTCATTTGGCCGGATATTTTACCCTAAAAGCCGGACATGTGCCGGAGGAGGAGAGGGGGTGCAATTAGTGTCAGCTCATGAGTGTGTTGCTCACCAACATCCTGATATGATCCTTCATGATTCTGTGGCTCGACTTTCGCCTGGCGCGGCAACCAAATAAAAAGCCTAACAAAAGCCGGACAGGCCGGACAAGTCCCTAAAAAGCCAAACATGTCCGGCTAAAGCCGGACGCCTGGCAACCCTACCTACACTAGCTGCGCCCGCGAATTCGTCCGCGTAGAAGCCGAAATATTCTCATAGGATTTATAAATGGTTTTTTAAAACGTAACAAACAAACGAACTCTTCAGCTTTATAATATTAGTATAGATTTTATCGAGATTCATCCACATTCATCCACAATATTTCTATTTTGATGAACTTTCATTTTATACTTTCTACCTTCCATGTCCATTTAAGCAATAAGTAGAGGGCCTACACAGGCTCTGTGCTTAAGGCCTCGGATACTCTTAATCCGCCACTGATTGTGGTGAACTCACTCATAATCATAATACAAGCTTTACGCTTACTAAACTGGGACTTGGGACTGAAGCTTCTGGGTTCGAAAGCTCTTCCAAAGTCGTATCTTTTTGGCCTACCATGTATAATGAGTGTTCTCTATCAAATACGTATAGGGTTAGGGGGTAATAAGTTTTGTAGCTTTTATCTGGACTCTTACCATGATTATAATCTCTTAAAAATCAGTCCCTAGCCAAAGTTAGGGGACAGGGTGTCTTACCAAAACCGAAAATATGAAAAGTGGTCCACTAGACAGTGGAATCTCCACTTTATAATTGGTGTTAGACACGACATTTCAAATTATTTTTTTACTGATGGTGAGTCGATTTATAATCCATTCCATTTTCGTTTCGTTTTCCTAATAGCTTTTGTAGATAGCTTAATGACGAAGAAAATTAGTGTTACAGAATACCAGTTAATACATACAGACAATTAATATAGGTTACATAATATAGTATATACCTACATACGAGCACTTAGTAAAATTAACTTTATTATACCTATTTGACAGACAAATTATCGAATAAGTTTCATTATAAGTAGTCTTAGACCGATACCAAGTACGTTTTACGGGAGCTTCGTTTTAAATAATGTTATTAAAACACTATAGCAGTAACCTAGAAATTAAAATAACAAAGACGTTCAGATTCTTAATAATTACGGTGTATTTGCTAATAGGTTTAGATTTGGGTTTCACTAAATCCACATCAAAAACAAATAGATGTATTTCTCTATACTGTTTCATTCATATCATAGGAGTGTGGGCGTACATTGTCAAGGATATAGTTTTGAATTCCCCAGATTTATATTTTATTGTGTGGATAACAACAACGATGTTACAGCATTCTATAAATAGTGCTGTTTTAACATTATCTCCAAGCAGTTCTTTCTATGGCTTACAAAATTCGCTTATAGCGATAGATATAAAAATGGGTATGAAACGAAGTCAGAATGTAGAAAATAATGTTATTATAGCAACTTGCTTGGTATCTGTATTATACAGACTTGTCGCCGAATACTTATTCTGCCAACATTATGAAGAAGAATGTGGACAATCAGGATTCGGTGAATTCATAATCATAATGCAAATTATTTCGAGTGATATTGTGCTTTTAGTAAATTTCTTTATTTTCTACGCCGTTTACCTCCGTTTGAAAACGTTTGTTGAATTTGTAAATAATAACGACCATCGTGTGATGGAGTGTATTGATATTTATAAAAGCATTGTTGATACTGTGGATACTATTAAGACGCCATTTGACATATTGGTTAGTCTTATGATTCGATCCGATTGAGCTAACTGCGCACCTCGTTGAAATGCGGGGTTAGTCCCAACGACCCCGGTGGATCTGCCCCGTCAACGGGGTGGATGGGAAAAGGTGTTTCAACGACCCCGGTAGTCATAACTATAGAGTATAGCTAAGACTATGACTACCGGGGTCGTTGAAACACTTTTTCCCATCCACCCCGTTGACGGGGCAGATCCACCGGGGCCGTTGGGACTAACCCGAAATGCGAATCTCCCTCAGTATCCAAGTATCGATGTGACGTCACTCGCGGCCGCTGGGTTCGCAGTTAACTCGACCGGATTATACACTCGACATCAAATAAATCGCACCTTCCGCGACAAGCACTTTCAAACGTATGCATCCCCACTTCCCACCATTATTGGCACCATTTAAAAGCCTAGGTCTAAACTTCATTTCATTATAGGAAAGGTTTTTACCCCAAAAATGTGTCTTTAGAAGGATCCAGAGTCACTTCTTCAAAAAATGGGTAGTTACGCTTGAGCCATTTTTTATGACTATAAAACTGTTAAGTTGGGATTAATCGCTATACATCTGTTAAAGAGGACACGTGATATCATTATTTGGTTTTATAACCATAAAAATTGGTCTAATTGATCCCAGAGGTGAGCCCAAAGTGAGGTCTATTTTCAAGTCACATTTATGGTATATGTTAATCATTTATTTAGAAATGAAATGTGTTTTTCTTTAAGGATATTTTATTGGGCTTTCAAATAACACCAATATTGTTGGGGTAACATGATTGTGTCAGAAGAAAATCTTTAAAGTTCGCGTCGCGGAAGGTGCGGTTTATTTGATGTTGAGTGTAGATGTAACTTATTTGTTTGTATTAGTTGACGACGTCACAAAACTTAATTTATTTTTTCAGTATGCCGTTGCTTTAGTTAATTTTACGCCAAATCTTGTGTTATCAGCTTACTTGGGGCTTATCAAATTGAAAACGTATAATGGAGACGTAAATATTGTAAGTTTTTACCATAATTAACGCCCGTATGCACAAACATTACAATGAGGCCTCACAGTGCGCGTGACACATGAACCAATCACAGAGCTCTAAATATTCAACGCTGTGCGTTCGATTTGCTGCTTCACATAAGCAAGTATCGTTTGTGAATACGGGCGTAATTATCATAAATTTAAAGCTATCTTTAATCTATACTAACATTATAAATGCGAAAGTAACTCTGTCTGTCTTGCTTTCACGCCTAAACCACTGGACCGATTTTGATGAAATTTGGCATAGTTTGAGTCCCGGGAAAGGACATAGGATAGTTTTTAACGTCAGCGAGACTTCAGATCTCCTTCAGAATATGCTTTGTCACGTCACAATTCAATGTCCCCCGCTCCCATACCTCAGACTGACCTATAACTCTTCTAATTAAAAAGTGTCCACGTTTTTATTTCAGGGATTCCTGTCAGGTTACATGATTAGAATAATGTATTACTTGCAAGATTTCGCCATATTGTTCGTGCCTGCAATATCATCTGGTCTTATGGCGCACCAAGTCAAAGAGCTGCTGAACCGGCTGCAAAATAGGTTACTACAAGAAAGATGTAAGTGTTATCATTTATTTTGTTCCTTAATCCTGGGGGGCTACTCCGAAAATCGTTTCCGAAGTTTCGCATTTTGCCATCCTTCTCACGCAAAGGGAGTCATGCTGGCATCTGATGCCAGCATGAGCGACGGTAACTGAACAGATATACCCAAAACTACGTAAACAGCGTTTCAGGGCCCTGCCAGAACAAAACGCGAACCATCAATATTTCAAAGTAGCGTATTTATTGCCAGGTAGGCGGTCGAGAAACAGCATTTTGACAATTTATCAAAAGTATCTTAATTAAGTAACGGTGTCCGAAATTATATTTATGTGCATGTGACATTTGTAGGTACTTGACATAAGTAGCTCGACGGATTGGCAAGCGAAATAGCAACGGACAGGGCACTTAGCACCGATAGACGATGGGGCATCAAGGTTCTGGAAAAAATCTCTAAAGAAAGAGAGAGATAGAGGAGAGAGAGATAGAGAGAGAGAGAAGAGAGATACTGAGAGATATCTAAAAACTATTCCCGGGGAGGCCTAAGTCCTGACCGATAGATGGGGCTATAGGGCATCACGGTTCTGGAAAAAAGCTCTAAAGAAAGACAGGAGAGAGAAAGAGAGAGGGGGAGAGAGAGAGAGAGAGATCTAAAAACCATTGGGGATTGGCCTAAGTTCCGCAGCGGACGTCCTGTGACTGAAATAATGATGAAGTGAATTCGACCTTAACTTATTATTTTTACAGCTGAAGATCACGCGGCCACCATAGAGCTGTTCATCTCATACGTGACTGCGCGGCCACTCGAGCTCACCTTGTATGACGTCATCAAGCTGGACTGGTCGCTTCCTATTGCTATATTTAACCTTTGCGTCACATACCAGATAGTTGTAGTGCAACTTACTCACATGTATTAACCCTTAAACCGCCACATACCGACACATTAATTCCGAGAGTGTAGTGTCTTGATTCCTTAAAAAAAACACAAAATTCTAGCCCTGGTAACAAATAATTTTCAATTGGCAATAAAAAGTATGTCAAATTGACTAGGGGTGTCCGAATTATTATAAAAATTTCAACCAGGCCAATCGTGATGTTAATCTTAATTTACTTTTTACCAAGAATTGGTTTAGCAATAAAAAATATTGTTTTCTTTTATACAGTTTATTACATATTAAACAAATCAGTCCATCCCACTTAATAAATCTATTATTTAAAACAATAGACAAATACAATATCATTAAATTAATAAGAATAAATCACAATTAAAAATAAAATAATTGCATCCCAAGAGAGCGGATATAAATTGAATTGAATGTAAATAAACAAAAACAGTGATTTGATTTATACATCAATAGTACATAATATGACATTGACATATCTATCAGGCATGACAGCTCAAAATATAGGGCGCGCAACGAATGTTGAGGCAAAAACGTACTCACAATGATGTAATATTTGAATACGGAACACAAACAACACAATACACATTAAAGTTCAAATATCGAATCAGCGAGACAAAAGACGTCGGCGCAGACAGCGCATACACATACAAATCATTGCTTGTGTTGATGGCCTCAACTCTCATTGAGCGAACTATAACAACAATATCCCAATGGTGTCAGTCTCGATCTTAATTTCACAAAGTGATACACCTATATGGTAGTTTAACAGTCACTGCTATGTCGGCAAGAAAAGTTGTATATTTTTGGTCTTATACATGAAGCCAGTTTACACTTCAACAATCTTGTCAAATGTCAATACTGCTAGGGTAAACCGACAGTCATTGGACGCTGCCAGTCATTGGACAAAACAACCCTTGAATTTTCTTAAAATGAAAATTCCTTCAAATGCAATGAATATTTCTTAAAAAAAAACGCAATTTTATCTCCATCAGTCGTAATCTCTCAGTTGTTGAAATAGAAATGCTATTTTTAATTCAGTAAATAACTGTCCAATAACTTTCTTAAGTGTCCAATGACTGGCAGTTTACCATATGTTATATCAATTTTGTTATTATTATTCTTTAGTCATCGACATCAAAATGGAAAATGACAACTTTTACAAGTTCTGTTTAATCTCATATCAGATTTTACTTATCATTCGATAGAATATCTATTTTACATTGTTCTACTGCTCAAGCAACTAGCGTAGAATTACGAGACATTATTATAAAATAAAGAATAAATGCATAGCGGTTCAAGTGTTAGTCCCTATTCCCATACTAATAAGACATATAATTGCTTCACACCGTCAATTTGTTTTAAAGCTAACCCAACACTGCTCCTAGCTTTTACAAGTGGTATTTTTCGGTCAGAAAAAGTTCTACAAAATTGGTAATGTTAGAGACTAGATTTAACTATTTTAAAGCCAATTGATAATGGCAGGAAATATCAGTATGTATCTATTTAACACTTTAACTGTTTAATGTACCACTTATGGCACAGATTTTTTCATAGTGTACCATAGTAGACAGACAGTACGCCACTGGTGTTGAACGTTACAAAATGTATAATTATTTTAAAAATGAATGTTGTAAAGTTTGCATGCAAATATTTAAAACCCGATAGAGCTAACTGCGCATCTCGCTGGATAGAGCGTCGATGTGACGTCACGGCTGCCAGGTACGCAGTTAACTGAACCGGGTTGTAATATTAAACGCATTTTGAAAAAGTGCATTTTTTTGATTGTGTGAGGTGTAACTTATCCAAAGAAACTTATATTTTATCTACAATTATTATTTGTGATCTATTTTCAAGCTGATTTGTTCTAAGTACTTAACATGTGTATAATTTAAATAGCATACTATAATAGCTGTGGCACCAATTTCAAATATTCTAACAGAGTCATTTTGTATATGGTAATTTAATTAGATACTAAATTATATACAATATTGCTTTTCCATCACCGTATTTCGAGACAGAATATATTTTGCCTATAAAGTAATGCGTAATTCATTTCTATTCCTTAGAGTGAAAACGAAAATATGTGTATATTAGTCTTGTAATATTATGAGTAGTAAAAAGTAGTTTTTTTTACTAAAAACCTAAGTCACTTATCTGCATTTTTCTACGCGTATAATAAAGTTTGATACTCAAATGGTCAATTTAGGTACAAAACTAACATTTGTAAGAAGTATGACTGTATTTCTGAAGATTAACTCAATTAAGTACAGTGAACAGCACATCAGACAATTTTTTTCAAAATCGCCCTTATTACAACTAAGAATAAGATGCCACATTATAGCTTGATGTGCTATCGTACGTTACATTAAGTTTCGTTTGTAAATAATTTCCTCTTCCCATATATTTTCGCTTCCACTCAAAACTTCTAAAAATTCTATCAAAACCAGCAATTACAAGTACCAACCTTATAATTCTTGTCCATACAATTTGTCCAGCTCCGCTATACTGGGTCCCGGTTTCTCTTGCGTTTCGTTTTGCGTGCCTTCGACTTGATTAGTCGGTTTGATAACTTTGATATAATTGACTGGGATTAAACCTGCGTGTTGCCGGTCAGTTGTGGCCATAAGCCAGCCGGTGTTCCATAATTGGGTCTGAAGGTGTTGCGGCGCAAGGGTTAACACTTGGTTGGCTGAGAAGCTTAGTTCTTGCGGTGAAGTTGCAGCGAAATCGTGTTGGGCGACCGCTCGGAGAGGATTCTGCCATGTTGTTGGGTCGTTTACTGGAATTAATGGTTTTGTATTGAATTTTTGTGTAAAAAAATATTTCCATAAATCATATCAGACAATAGTTATAACGTATTATATGATCATTTGAGGTAACATTGTCTAGTTCAGTTTTATTTGAACAAGTTATTTGCAGCTTTGAGCTAAACATTTGTAGTCAGATATCGCAATAGTATTTTTTATAATTCATAAGACATACTTATTTGTAAGATATTTATGATTACGTTTATACTTTTTATGGTTTACATTTTTACTGGTAAGTTTATGTAAATGCTCGTTTATAAACATTACTTTCAAAAATTGTTTGTTACTTTGTCCACTTCCTTTATTTTTCACCCAATTACAAAACACAACTATCAAATACTATTGGTGTAATAAAAGTATGTAAAGTCCGGTCGCCGAGCACGTGGCACCCGGACTATAGTAAAGATGACCCACGCTGAACTGTCCCACTGAACTCAATGACAGGGGGGCGCTACCATCGTTCAACTATATGGTTTCCAACATGGCAAAAATCGGAGCCAGCGATCCGGTATTGACGGTGGCGCCCCACTGTCAATGTCATGGATAGGACAGTTCAGTATTTTGGAACTATACTCACATTTTTCATTAATGCTCGAAGACAGTCCGTTGAGCATCTTCAGCACCAAGTAGGGTGCTGCGACCACCACTCCGAAGAACATCAGGATGGGCCAACTGGAGCCCTTGGCCCTCTGCTCAGGGCTGGCCGTGCCCGCTTGAGTGGCGGCCATTGCTTCTGCCCATGCCTGAAAAAAATAATAACATTATTATAGGACAGAATATAATAGAACTTTAATGACGGTAAGCTTAGCCGCAGACCACCGACTTTTAGTTGGGCCCGATTCTAATTTGTATGAAGAATCTGCCGATACCAAATAATAAATATTCTTGGACATTTTACACTGCGCTTCTAGTCCCAAACTAAGCAAAGCTTGTACTATGGGTACTAGACAACGGATATAAACATACTTACATACTTTTTTTTTTGTAAATAAATACTTATTATACATAGAAAACACCCAGTCCAATACAAACAAATATGTTCATGCACACAAATGTTTGTACTGTGCGGGAATCGAACCCGCTACCTCCGGAATAGTAGTCCGTTTCGAACCACTACACCAAACGGCTGACACGACAACTAAAAATCGGTGGTCTGCGCATAGGCTAATACATAAACAACAACACAACAAGAACAAAAACATTTACTGAGCCACTGCACCAATAGGTTTATTGTTTTAATATAATACATTAACCCGCTCAGCATTTATTCTGACATGTAAGGGCATGTCAAGAAGCTGGACTTCCGCGGACGCCCTTGCTTTTGGCATCGCGCATCCTTTCGAGGAGACACCGAATTCTTATTATCAGACGATTTATTTTTCATCATCATCATTTCAGCCACAGGACGTCCACTGCTGAACATAGGCCTCCCCCAATGACTTCCACATCGCACGGTTGGTAGCGTGGTGATTTCTTTTTAGGGCGACAATAAAATAGCCCGACCGGTTTTGAATCCGTAAAAATACGGTCTACTGTTTGTATGTTTTGGATTGGACGTAGTGCGAAACGGCTCTAAAGTACATGCAGCTTGTATAAATTACCATTACGTCATATTTTCGTATGAACAACTACTATAGGTCAAGGTAACACGGCGGTAAAGTAAGTAAAGTTCTTCTACAGGATGTTAGGTAAATGGGTATATGAGCCGACACTAGCCCATGTTAACATGGTCATATAAATGGTTTGGTGAAGTCAGAAATTTGATATCATCATTTTATTTTTTTTAATTTTCATACAAAATAAATTTTATAAAATCCGATTTGTATGAAAATTAAAATAATTAAAATGAAGATATCAATTTTCTGACTTCACCATACCATTTATATGACCATGTTAACATGGGCTAGTGTCGGCTCATATACCCATTTACCTAACACCCTGTATAACCTTCGTGTTGGTCATCATATTTAGTTAGAGGTGCGGAAGACGATGAGTAGGTACCTACATCATGGTAATAAGCACTAAACACGCTTGATATAATGTGCAACAAAATGTACCAATTAGTATTTTTTTTAAGCAATTATACGCATTTTGCCTTCGTTGCAATAGCCGTTTTAGTATGGAAAACAATTTTTTCAGTAAAAACGTTTTGCCTGTTTTTAAGGATAACCGATTAAATAAAAGATTTTATACCTAGCAAAAAAGGAACAATGGAAATAGTATAGTAGCTATTGAATTACTGGAAACTAAAGAATGTCTGAGACAATATCGGCAATTTTATAGGATAAGACCTATATGTACACTTAGTATGCAAATAAACAATTTCAATTTGAATTATGTAAAGACCTTTGATGGTTTTTAAGTGTGACTTCTATTTTCCTTTGAAGTGTGACAAGGCCAAATTGTTTCTTCTACAAAAGCAAACATGCTATTTTTATGTATTATGTACAAAATGTTGTTGTTTGTCAAAATAGGTTTTTGTAGATAGGTCTACATAATATGTCTAAATTCAGATTAATATCAATAAACATTCTCTATTTCTCTGTGTTATCTTTCAAATGGCAAGTAAGATAGTAGCATATTTCTTTTTGATTTTAATGCTAGATAAAGTTTGCTCATAAATATAATAGTTTGATAGTCGACATGTGTCAGAGATAGTTTATCTCTTATCATTATTGCTAACTCAATATGCCGACCAGACTGACGTTTCTATAAAATTTGAATACTAAAATCTGGGTAAAATATAATAGAAATGTATAGGATGGAAAGTAACTTCTAGGTTCATCATGAATTTCAGCGAAATGAGCTGGTGGCATTGGTAGAAGCACCCATCCTACATCGTAACATATTACAATCTTTTTTCTGGGCTAGGAGCAGGGAGACCTTAGGGCTATATTTCACCGGTACACCATGGCGGCGCAACCAGTCGCCGCTACCAACAAAATGCATGCAGCTTTGCGCAACCAAACGGACACCAGGTAAGTAACTCTCTATAGAGCTGTATACATTTTGTTGGTAGCCGGCGACTGGTTACGCCGCCATGGTGTCCCGGTGAAATATAGCCCTTATTGTGTCATGCCCTGTCCTTGGTATTATGTTTATGAACCCATGTGTCCCTATAGCTTAACATCTAAACTGAAAATAACATTATTTGGTTAAACTTTTAGAAATGTACCTTAAATTCACATTCAGTCCTGATGCCCATGATCACCAGGAGCTTCCTGACCATCCAATTGAGACTACGGACTACGGCAAATGTGGACCAGAACTGTGCAAACAATGATCGAAGTCTACCAAAGTTTTCTGCTACACCTGAAAATTGAAGGGAGAATTCATTCAAGTTATTAGTTATACAGTGTGTCCGGGCTTGTAGTGATCAAACTTTAATGGCGTAATCTATGGACAATTTTATCGATGAAAAATTGAAAATACTTCAAATTTGGGGCTTGACCCATTTGTCGCAAAATTACGAGGATTTAAGTTTTTAATTTTTAGTTTTCACCTCTTCCTTCAAAAACAAGTGAAAACGTGGGTAAATAAACATTAATAAGCGAATATTTGATATCATGCGATAGTCAATAAAATTATCTATTAGTAGAAGTAGAAAACGGACACAAGTTTCATACATTTTATGGAAGTAAGAATGGATTGAATTAGAAAAAGACATGATTTTTTTCACTTCTTTTTCAGTTATTTTCCAACACAAGAAAAACCAGCTCGTTAAGGTATGTTTTATTTGCATTGTATTATTAGTATTTGAGCTATTCTACAAAACGAATGTAAATTTATTAGTCTACGTCTATTAGTTTTGACGTAATTGTTGAACAAAGATACCCCTTCCCAGCCGGTTCCATAGCGCGTCGGAATAATAAATTAAAAACTTAAATCCTCGAATTTTGCGACAAATGGGTCAAGCCCCAAATTTGAAGTATTTTCATCGATAAAATAGTCCATAGATTGCGCCATTAAAGTTTGATCACTACAAGCCCGGACACACTGTATAGCAAACTGTAACTCAATTCATAATTATGTGCTTAGGGACATAAATAATACTGATAATATATTGTATAATAACAAAATAAACCTACTGATAAGACAAAGACTATTAAAGATGCACACAAGCAATGCCATTAGTGCATACTTATCTGTATGGCAATTATTTTGCTAAATATTCATGTTTTTTAAAATAAACTTTCTTTGTTCTTGTATCTTTTAGTCATATACAGATAAAACGAGCTGTTGTTTTGTCAATTTTGCCTCATTATTCATGTGTACGTTTTTTAAACAGGACAAGGCAGATATTTGACTGCAATCGCACCGGATGTTAAGGGAGATGCCGTCTAGGATATGAAATATTTTTTGCATATTTTAGTAACTCCATCAAATATATGGCTATTGTTTTATTTTTATTTACAGTCTACAGCACATCAGAGTACATATTTCTGGCAAAATATCTATTACAGCTGCATACAAATGAGTACACGCTTAAAAGGAAACTCCAAACCCTGTAATTTCATATTATACAGGGTGTCCCAAAAACAATGGATAACCCTGTAACCATCGATAGGCCTCGCCATGGTCTCCCTAACATCCAATTTTGACCCCAGTAAAAATATCACCGTTTTNTGAAGAGTCCGAGATTTTTTACGTATGGAGAGAAGTTAACGACAACTCCGTCAAAGACAACACTAGGGACCGATCCCAGATCCAGTTTAGCCAGTTGCCTGGAGCTCCCCAGCACTATCGCCTGACACTTGCCAGGATTGACCCTCACACCGAACTTCCCGGACCAATCGGCGATATTGTGTAGATCAGCATTTAGCCGCGAAACCGCATCAGATATCTCAGAAGGGTCAGCCTGCACGTNCGAGGATATATATCAAGGGATATATATCAAGATATATATCGGATATATATCCGATATATATCAAGCCGGTTTTGATGATATATATCAATTTTTAAAATTTGTTACTGTATTTGTACTTTTTGACATAAGATTTTTATTTTTTTAGTTGATTTTGCCGTATTTAAAAGATATTTTATGTTTTTGCTTTATTTGTCTGATTTTAAGTATTAAAAACATTAAAAACATGTTTATGTAACACATATGCAATAGTATTCATGAATAATACAATAAAATAATACTATGGCTTTAATACAAAATTGATATATATCAAAGTTGATATATATCGGATATATATCATAAATATCCGATATTTTGATATTTATAATAAATATCGGATATTTTCGAACCCAGATTTTATGTATTTTTTTAGTATCGCCTGTTATTTAGCATTATTACTATTTTTATTTTATCAGGATATACCGCTTAGTTTAAAAGTTATTACGTTTTCTTTACAATAAGTAATTGAAAGAAAAAAAATTCTATAAAAAATTAAAAAAAAATCTCAAAAAATTTTTGACCGTTTTTTTGTCGATAAAAATAGGTCTAGTTTAATCTATTTTCATATGTACACTTTAACGTGACTCACACTGTATAAGATCCTATAGTGAATAGCTTGCCATGTTGTTCGTTATACTCATTAATTAGCAAGGAAGATAAATATTAATTCAACAAATACCTAAAATAGCTCTAAATGAGCTAGTCAGAGCGAAGAATGTGTTTTCCAGCATCATGGCGACGCTGCCCACCGCGTTAACGAAGCTTTGAATGGAGTCAAACGCTGGCCTAGAATTCTCTTCTGCCATTTGGATAAATCTGAAAAATAATTAGTAGGATATTCATCTAAAATATAGCAAGATAATGCAAAATTATCACAATAATTTGAATGTTTGAGACAATTATACATGCTGATTTATACCATAATCACTTAATTAATCTTATTAAGTCTCTCTTTNTCATTATTTCGTATTAAAATGTCAAATTACTAATAAAATATTGTTTTGAAATGTAAATTGCGATATTGAAATGCGTTTAGTTAATAAAAATTAGAATATTTAGTGAATTTAGACGATAAAAAATTATGCGAGGTAGTTCAAATTAAAATTACAAAGCCGCGCCTCAGTTAGAAAGACACAAATTCATAATAAAAAGAATACGTATCTCACGCCCTCAGCCCCGACGGCAGCTAGGAAGCCGGTGTTGACGCGTTGAATCAGCTGATGTCCCGTTAGCCGGCTCGTTGAGGTCGGCCGCTGGCACAACTGAAATATCCGGCAAAAAAAATACTAAAAACCGGGAAACTACTGGCGCGATACGTTATTGTGTTTAGGGTTTGGCTTTAATTACTTGAAAATAAGAGAAATTGCAATGATTTGATGATATTTTGAATGATAAATAAAAATTATGGGGTAGTCACGATTTGCACAAGTGAAAGTTTTTACTAAATTGGATAGGATTTCGGGAATAAAAAAGGTTTAGGAGTGGTTTAACAGTGTTGGGATGATGTAAGGAAGGAATAATCAGGGCACTTATCTGAAATCCAGGCTGCGAGGTGAAACTTTTGCTGCGTCACTGCTCGGCTGACTCCAGGTGTCCTTGGCTTAATCTTCCAGATTGTCCGAAATTGCAGTCCTGTCACGGTCGCCAATGTTCGCGCCTTGCAGACGCGATGGAATTTTATAAATAAAACTCGGAAACTGCTTATTTCGTTGTATTCTTGAGACGTTACAATTTTGATGTTGTTCGATCGGAATCCAAAAGAGAAGTGATTTTATACAATGGTTCTCAATATAAAGTATTAACTGACAAAAGTTATGTGACATTTGCATTAGAAGTAGATTTTGCTATTAGAATATGACGAGGCGCGAGTAGGGCCGCAACACATTGAACTCATAATCATCAAGGCTTTTCTTCAAGTCTCCACTGCAAGAGGTCAACCGTTTCTTATTAACTAAAGACAACGGACAAGTTGAACTATCTTTGAGCACCATAAGGCTTTAAATTGACTGCTCTACTACTCTATTTGAAATGAAATAATTATTTTTACATTTTGTAAACAAAACTTACACAGAACACGCCAAAAGCAGCTACGCTGATAAAGTGAAGGGTAATGCCCACAAAGAAAAAGACATGGAAGTANATTACAAAATAGTGTAATAAACCAAACTTGCTATGACATGTATACTCTTAACTCAGTCTGAACTGAGTTACGAGCATCAGAAGTTTGATGATTTTCATACTAGATTTGCTATTTGCGCGCAAGTTTTGTAAGCAAAAAGCAAATCTAGTATGAAAATCATTAAACTTCTAATGCTCGTAACTCAGTTCAGACTGAGTTTAGAGGTATACATGCCATAGTAAGTCATAGTTTCTGAACAAGAATATTGAAACAGCTCTTTGACATTTTAAAATATTCAAAATATTTCACTGACGCTACACTGTAGCACTGATACTGAACTGAGCGGACACTGTGACGGAACTGTGGCTTCACTGATATGTGTGAATCGAGTTTTAGCGTGTTCATAACACTCGAATATTAGCGGAAGAATGGTGGGGCGCGTGTTCGTGGATGGAACGATCTGTAATAGGGTATAGTCTGGTCTGTGAGCACATATAATTTTGTCCAATGACCCCAAGCTACCCATCCTTATCGCTCGCGCGTAATTATGTTGCTATCGCGCTCGCACACCCACTGCGGATGCCAGTCGCACAGTCGCGACGGCAATATTTACGCGCGAGTGATAAGGATGGGAAGCTAGGGGTCATTGGACAAAATGAGGGCTATCGTTTTAGCGCTCACCAGTTAGCGCCACTGTAGAGTAAGGTCCTGTCACTTGCTAGTAGCGAAGACAGTGGCACGAACTGGTGAGCGCTAAAGTGGGAGGAGGACTATCGCATTTGCACTCATCAAGATGGCGCCACTGTAGAGTAAGGTCCTGTCAATCGCCAGGGGTGCCAACTGTTAAGTATAAAGACGATAGCCCAAATTGTACGTGCTCACAGACCGGGCTTTAGTTACCGAGCCTGCGGGCGGTCCAGCAGCTCGCTAAGATGTCGCAGCGCGGCGCGCGCGCGGGCCCCGCTTCGGTGGCGCGCCGCCGCCGCCAGCGCCGCCTCCGCTTGTCCCAGCAGCGCCGGCAAACAGCACACGTCTAAAAAAATAATCATAAAACTCATTTAGTACTCCCGCACACGATGCCGCTGCCGCACCGTCGCCGTGCCGACGCCGCGCTTTTATACTGCTTATACGCGCCGCGTAAAGCCCGCTGCCGACCTGCTGCCGCGTTACAGTTAGGCCGGGTTCCCACTATGCCGGACCGGAATTTCTGCCGGAAACCGGACACCGGTGTTCACATTACACCGGATCCGAAATCCGAGCCGAATGAAGTGCGGGGAGCACGGGCGGGGCGGGGCGGGAAGCACGGGCGCGGCGGGGTGGGCCGCAACTCGTTCACATTACTCCGGTCCGGTGATTTTGCCGGCATTTTGTAGCGACAAAACGCTCGGTAAAAATGCCGGGCTCGGCGAAAAAGCCGGATACGGGATAATGTGAACAGCTTCATACAATTTGTACCGCCGCTAGGCCTTCCGGCGATTTTACCGGACCTTAGTGGCCCGTTAAAATTATGCTTTGTCGGCGCGGTAGCGGCGTCGTGTGCAGGAGCGCTTATACCTACATATATCGTTTCATCCACGAAGACGCGCCCCACCACTTTTTGGTACATATTACAAAACAAAGTCACTTTCCTGTCTGTATGTGGTTCTGGGTGACAATTCCCAGCGGCAGAGCCTGATGCCACCACACGCGTCANATTGTTTTGTATTTGTTGTCAGATTGTTTTATCTGTTTAGAGTATTCGAGTTTTTTAGACATTTTTATACACCTTTTTAATATTTTACTGTATTGATTATAGTATTTTTTTGTAACTGTAGAATTTGATTCATTAAGTAGTGTTCTTAAAAGTCTTTTGTGCTTACAAGATTTTTTTAGGCATTTCGTAAGCCAGCTTTTATTATGTTTGTTTTTTATTTTAATGGACTCTAAAGGTATATATTTATTTAATAAGTTTTTTATAATTAAATGGAATGTCGTATAGTTTGCTTGAATGTCTTTATCATTATTTGTAATGTTATTCCAATCAATTTCCTGTAATGCATTTTTAAAATTAGATATTTTTTGCTTTGTAAATATTCGCTTTTTTACTTGCCATGGTTTATTGTTGTTATATAGCAGATTTTCTAGACGCAATTCTAATATAACTGATTTATGGTCAGATAGGCCGTAGTCTTTCACATATGCTTTGTTTACAAATGGTTTATAGTTGGTAAATATTAAATCAATAGAGGTTTGTGTTTTTTCAGTTACACGAGTGGGTTCTTTAATAAGTTGTTTCAGATTATATGATAGCATGAAATCGAGGAATTCTTGTTTTCTTTTGTTTTTGGTGTTTAATACGTCAATATTAAAATCGCCACCAATTATAACATGTTTGTTCCTATCTTGGTGGTTTACTTTATTCAGTAATTTTGTCATTTGCTCATAGAATATATTTATATTGCGATCTGGCCTGTATACACCTACAATGATGGTATTAATTTGTGGAATTTCTATTGCGCTAAACTCTATAATAAATTCTTTAGACAATTTAACAATATCCTCTCTACTCACATTTTCTAATGTATCCTTAATTGCTATACAGACTCCACCTAATCTATGTTTTTTTCTACAAAACAGTGAGGCTATTTTGTATCCGGGTATTTTTATTGTTTCGCAAAAATCTCTGTTTTTACCTACTTCTGACAATGATATTACATCTAGATTTGAGTCTAACAATAGCTGTTCAATTAGAGGTAACTTATTCCCTATGCTTTGAATATTCTGGAATGCGATTGTACAGTTATTTGCGAAATGTACAGTTGGTAGACGTTGTTGTTTTATCTTCTTCCACAGGTGTTTGTTGCTGAATGTCCTTAGTGTTGTTGTGGCCAGCTTTGTTGCAGTTTTCCTTTTCTACTGGGAGATCTTCGTAAGGTTTTCCGTTTATAATCAGTTTATTATGTTTTATTATTGCATGCTGTCCTTTCTGTCGGGCTTCTTGCAATTTTTGGCGAAGCATATTCCTTTCTTGTAATTTTTCCTTATCCATGAATGTAGTGACTGCCAATCCAGTGTTCTTAAAGGAGTTGGAGTTTTCTAGTATGTATTCGTGATAACAATTAATATGTTCTTACGCAGTTATCTAACATCTCTACAATCTTCGTGTACATTATACTAGAACCAATTGAAATACATTTAAGTGCTCAGTTCCGATGCCCAAGATGATGCAGTTCAGATAAACGCTTATCATTATTTGGAAATACTCGTAACTTATGATAGGCCGTAATGATACCATTGACAAATAAATTTCATAAGATATCACGACCATATAAATAATTATGACAACAAAATAACACTTATAAAACCAATTAACCTTAGTAGAATCTGTTGAATTACTACTTACTGTCGCAAAATGGATAGCAAAAGCGACCCACTACAGTTTCTACCTCCGGAGAAATGGGGGGACCTCGAAGCGGTATTTGAGGCCGACTGGCCCAGAGGAATATCAGCCTACACAGCAATACGAAGCCAAAGAAATCTACTGGACAAAGGACTGAACTACGGCTTCGAAGTATACTGTCCATATGGTGACGTTAGCAACGGTATGGTCGCCTTGAATGTCAAAGTGAGAACTATTTGTAATACATTTATACTACTTTGGTATTAATTAGCCTACAGTTTCAGTTATTCTAAATCCAATAAATCGATTGTAATTCTAAAATAAGAAACTGAACCGCTCCTGAACAGATAGGTATAAAATTACATCCCATTTTCCAGCTCATTGGGTAAATAATTACGGGGATTTCGGGGATCGAGTGTCGGTAATAATATTCTTATCATTGTCTACAGCCGATTGATGTCATAAAAAATACGGGGTGTCTGGTTTTGCGTACTAGTCGGTTTAACTTAGGTAGGTACAGACACATCAGACTATACATTTCTGTTGCATATTGACCCCTATAACAACTGCATAAGATCTATGTGGTGTTTACCTTAACGTGCTGTCGTGTGTTTAGCAAAATTGAATCATACGCAATAATAAATATGATACTTTTGTTTCAGCACAACTTTTATGAAGTTTGGATTCAGTGCCCAAAAGATGATACAGAGTCCCTAGAAAATGCACTTCTATCTACAAACGTCATAGATTGGTCACAAGAAATTACAGTACCATTTATACCTCAGCATCTTTATGACATGCTTCTGAGAGTGACTAAAAAGCTTGGAGTAGTGTTTGAAGGCGAAAATTGGCCTACCTTGGATGTTATTATTTATCAAAAGACACAGCCTGCTTTTGAAAATATTTGGTAAGATTTAATAAATTAGTATTTACTTAACATTATAAAAATGTTGTACTTTCATGTAAAAATTTGTACCTACATGAGTCAGTCATTTCATAGTTGGCTTGATGAAGTTGCAACCTTACTCCAAAAGCAACAAAAAAAATTCAGTCTCATCATTTGAATCTCTCTCTCTTTCTTACTAGTATAAATTGATTTAAAATTTTCGAGTTTGAAAAGTATGCCTTGTTTAACTCTATTAATTGAACTAACGTACTTTTAATTCATATCCCTTGCAGTTTACCAGATGGCATGCAGTTTAAGTCGGTCTCAGAAAAGGACATCGATATGATTGATTCAAAATGGATAATACGCTACGACGGATCGAAAAGCCTATTCAGGCTCTTAGTAAAAGCTGACCTTAGTTATGGCCTTTATAAAGACGATATTTTAATATCATGGATCTTTATTAGTGAAGTTGGAAACATGGCCCATTTGCACACCCCTGAAGAATATAGGAGAATGGGCTACGCAACCTTATTACTAAAACTTCTTTGCAATAAGTATTTAGAAGAGAAACGAGATCTTTTTGGATATTGCGAGAGTAGAAATGTAAAAGCTCTTAATTTATATAAAAAGCTCGGATTTGAAAAACTTCATTATATTCGATATACTGTCGTTAAGCCTAAATAAACCGCCAACATCAATAGCATGTTTTATTAACTTACCATTTAGATCCATTTTGCATCCGCATAAGATTTTGAAACTGCTTTATTAGTATTACATTTTTAACGACGAGTTGATCCTAGAGCTCTTTCATTTTTACGCTTTTCGTAGTAGAAAACATGGAAATGTTCACGCTTTAAAACGGGCAAGGAAAATAAAATAATCAATAGAAGTGTGGTTCTGGGTGACAATTCCCAGCGGCAGAGCCTGATGCCACCACACGCGTCGCAGGTTGCGGATAGCGATACGGCCCCCAGATATGGGGGTTAGCTGCGAATATTCTGAATAAGCAGTCGCGGACAATTAGGCAGTCCACTGGAGAGGTGCTGGGGAGCTTGTAGCAGAGTTTACCTCCAGGAAATAGCGCACAAAACTCGATGATAGCTGGACGATAGTAGCGAACGTGGGCCGCTACTTTAAACCTAAGCTCTCAATGCTCGGGGAGATGAGCCTCGTTAGCCATGGCAGGCAACTTATCTAGGAGAAGGAGACTCTGATCAAAAACCCAAACAACAAATTTCGTCATGGAAGCAAGGTTTAAAGAGAAACTACCCCAGGAGGGTACCAACACCACAGGTGCGGGAGAATCCCTCTCTGGGCTGGCCGCACAATCATCTTGTGAGACCAGCTCAGGCAGCCCTTCGTATTCTGGGGGGGGCCAAATTTTGCCGAAAGATGTAAATCAAAATAAATATGCAGAGTCCTGCACTACTCAACAGCAATCAACTAAAACTACAACTAAAAAATTTGTGCAGCAAGCATTCCACCCAAGCTTGCTTACCAACAGACCGAGAAGTCATTCAGTTGGGAACCATAAGACAGATATCAATGTGGACGCAAAACTAAATAAAGAATCGGACAGAGACAATACTAGAGAGACACCAAATACCCCAAAAAACACCACGGAAAATGACATAATCGATTTGACAACATGGCAAAGCGATAAAGTACCAGATTGGAAACGAAAAAGGCAAGACACAAGCCCACCACAGGACTCAACTCAAAAACGGCCAAAAACTCTAACTACGTTTGCGATACCAACATCAAATAGCTTTGAAGGACTACAGAATGAATCCAATGAAGATACAAATACGGATAATTCAAATAAAAAAAGGATGACGATCCCAAAACCCGAACCAATATTTGTAACAGGAGTAAATGACATTAAAGAACTCCATAAAATGTTAAAAGAAATCACAAACACAGACAAAAATTACACCCTTACGACTCTAAGAAATGGGCACACTGTAAAAATTCTACCAGGCGATGTTGAAATGTACAAAATCATTAGAGAAACATTTATCAAACTTAATGTCAGTCACTATACATACCAGCTCAAACATGAAAAAGCATTCAGAGTAGTCCTTCGAGGACTCCATGCTACAGAAGACAAAGACATTATAAAAACCGAATTAAGGAATCTAGGACATTCTGTCAGAAACATCACCAATGTAATACACAATAAAACAAAAGACCCACTACCCCTATACTTTGTAGAACTGGAACCAAACTCAAATAACAAAGACATCTACTCAATAAAATCTATCAGTAACACCATCGTAAGATTCGAAGTTCCCTACAAAAGAAATGAAGTGGTACAGTGTAAACGATGCCAGAGATTTGGGCACACCAAAAATCTATGCCACAGGCCTCACCGCTGTGTTAAATGTGGCGATGATCACCCAACATCCTACTGCAAGAAAGAACCAAATACACCAGCAACATGTGTAAACTGCCAGGGAAGCCACCCTGCCAGCTATAAAGGCTGCACTAAATACAAGCAGTACAAATCGGAAATATTTGATAAAAATAGACCAAAAAATAAATCTGCGAATATTCAACCGAATAAAATAGAAATAACACCTAGAGAAACTGATAGCAATACTAACATCAATCAAAAACCAAATGTAAACAAAACTTACACAGAACACGCCAAAAGCAGCTACGCTGATAAAGTGAAGGGTAATGCCCACAAAGAAAAAGACATGGAAGTACTGATGCAAAATATGTTCATAAAATTTGAAAATACGATCGAGAAAATGATCGACAAAATGATGGACCGTATGTTCGACTTAGTGTCCAAGCTAATTAAACCATGACTGCCATAAAAATATCCATTTGGAACGCCAACGGCTTGTCTGAAAGAAGACAAGAACTAGAATCCTACCTCCAAACTAACAATATAGACATAATGCTAATAGCCGAGACCCGCTTCACAGAAAGGAACTACATTAACTTCAAGGGCTATAGCTCTTACCTAACCAACCATCCTTCTGGAAATTCCCATGGAGGTACCGCAGTAATCATAAAAAGCAACATTAAACACCACGAAAGAGAACACTTCAGTGAGGATTTCCTCCAGGCGACGTCGGTGACGGTTGAGATGAAGACGGGACCCCTTGCAGTATCAGCAATATACTGTCCACCTAGGCATAGCATCAAGCATGAAGACTTCAGCAAATTCTTCGATACACTCGGCCTACGCTTTATTGCAGGTGGAGACTGGAACGCCAAACACACGGCATGGGGCTCCCGCATGATACTCCCTCGTGGGCGACAGCTTTACATGGCTTTGATGAAGGAACAGATCCAGTGGCTCTCAGGCGGGCAACCAACTTATTGGCCGGCGGATACAAACAAAGTCCCTGATCTCCTGGACTTTTTTGTAATGAGAGGCATATCCAGAAACTACGCTACCGTTGAAAGCGTGGCTGATCTATCTTCCGACCACTCACCTGTTGTCATAAGTATCAGTGGTAACTTCGCACTCAACGTGAGTCCTCCGGGATTGTACAATGGATCGACAGACTGGGATCAGTTCAGAGAAAACCTAGACACAAACTTAAACCTCAATGTCCCGTTAAAGTCACTCAAGGNATAGAAAAAATATACAAAAATAAAACTTTCACCATCAAGACCGAATGTTCCTTGCAAAGAACTATTATTTTCAAACGAAAAAAAATCTTACAAAACTATTTTAACCCTACACTGCATGATTTTTTTGTTTTTAGAAAAAAAAATCTTTTCAGATAATATTTGTGGTCTAGAACACGGGATGCACAGCTAAAATAAAAAAAAACTAATAGTTATAGAGAAAAAAGGTTTTTTTATTTTGTTCCTTATGTGGCACTGCATGCAATGACCTACCTAAATTAAAGCGTAATCAATACAGGGCATGTGTAGTAGTTATCAAGGATTACTCCCATTTATGAGGCTTATTAGGTAGATATTGGCGCAGCATGATAGAGGCCTTAGTAGCGCACATCTGCTCATCCTCTGACAATGCTTCTCGTTTGAGTATAGCTTGATATTATTTTAGGGTTTCTAATAGATGTCTGAGTTATGAAGACGATCGTATCCTGCAGTACCTGCTGGTGGCTGAGTGGTTTCGTCATTGAAGTGTAGATATTGCAGAATTTTTCAAACTGGTTTACTTACTAACATGGTATTTCTTATCAATGGCAAATAATTATAAGAAATATTGCAAAGGAGTTTCAACTTCTGGCTCTAGATCGGTTTGCCCACAAAACTCAAGATTTGTTGGACGGTAAGCTTTTTTTCCAGCTGATATTTTGCTTTATTCTGACGACGGAAACAGCAGGTGCAGGAGCAGCGTCTTTTGATGCAGCAGACGCGGAAGATACAACTGTTAATTTGCGTGTTCGTGAAGCCAACTGCTTCACGAATCTGGATGTAGGGAACAGCAGGATTGAACCACTAGGATTTGGTATATTATGCTGCTGCATATCACCAGCATAGGACCCTGATGATGGTGCAGCAGATTCATACCTGTTCGTTGAAACAAATTGCTCTTCGTCATCCGTACCTATTGCTAAACGTTTCAGAAAGTTTGCTGAGGGTAGATCTAATTGAGGCAATTTCATCATCACTTTCGGCCTGAAGAGTCTTGTTCGTCTTCATTGCCTAATAGTATTGTCAAATAACTTTGATTTGAGCGCTGGATGAGGTTTTCTTCGCCACTATGTAAAAATAATCAACATCATACCATTAGTATACATATCTAAAATTGGATCGTCACTGCATGAAGTGACACATCGGGAACACTCAGTAATTGTCAAAATTTAGTATCGAAACACGGCCAAATCAAAAAAATATACTTACATTTGTTTAGTTCACTAATATTTCGACACAAAAACAATTTATCCACTGTTGCATTCCATGAACAACTATTTTTTATAAAATTTTCAAAATAAGTACGAACGGCGCGTGGCTGACGTTCAAAATTTTCAATTAAATGACTGACTCAGCGAGATAGTGCTGCCATCTAATTTCAACGAATGTAATAAATGGATTCTATTGGTTATTGTCACTTTCTTTACGTAATTATAGATGCCGCTACTTGGCTCAAATCAGAAAAATCATCAATTATATTGGTTGTCCCACATATGGGACTGAATGCAGTGTAGGGTTAAATTGGGAAAAATAATTTTTTTTCTTGTTTAGCAGTATTTTAACTTAAATTATTCTGATCAGTTTTGCAGTTAAACTACGTTAACGCGAAGAAAAAAAATTNACATTGAAAAACGATAGGGAAAAGGTTTTTACATTGCATAAGATTAATAATTTTTACCTGTTAGGTGTTTAACGTGCTATTCACACAAAAAGGGCCTAGAAACACAAATTTCGCAAATTAGTCCGAGTAGAGTCAATGCACTAATTTAAGGAATTTGTGAAGTTGTTGTTATTATTTAAACAAGATTAGTATACCATTTGAATGGGGATAGACTAGAGAAGTTTTGATAAAATCCGAAGATCGCTATCTCTTTTATTTATTTTTTTATAGCCATGTAAACTTCAATGTTCAGTCCATTTTTAACTTTTTGGAAAACTTTAAAGCTGAATTTAAAAAAAACTAGATGATATTTGCCAGTAAATTTAGATTTGATGTAACCCTACATCAATGTACGTCAAAACAAAATATTTACTTTGAGGCTACGCCTAGTAATTTTTTTTTAAATCTAAGTTAAATGATGCGATTTGGGTATTTTGGTGAAATTACTAAAAAAATTAATTTAAAAGTAGCCGCCTGGCATGGAACGTGTTATGGAGGCTGAAAATATAGGAAATGACCCATTCTATCCGCCAAATTATTTTGGCACACGATGCGCCAAACACCCTGTATATCTTGATATATATCGGATATATATCCGATATATATCCAGCCGGTTTTGATGATATATATCAATTTTTAAAATTTGTAACTGTATTTGTACTTTTTCACATGANTACTGAGAATTTCAAATTCAGCACTTGCAAATTTTTAAAATTGTGGCTATTTTTAAAGGACTGGGGTGTGTCACACCCCACCTCGTACAGCGAGGGTTAATAAACTTTTTTGACATAGATTATTTTCCATGTGTAAATACAACATTATAATGATCAAACAAAAGGAGAGTTTGGGACTGTAATTTGTGTATTTTAATAAATATTATACTTGGTAGACCAAGAGTTCATGAGCTAAACAATAGAAATTTGCATATATTTGATAGTCAAAATCCATTAGTTAATTGTAGTTACTAGTTACACTGATTTCTTGTCTTCTGATCCACATTTTATTATTTAAGGTTCTTAAGACTGTCTAGTAAGTTATTTAAACGGCTAAAATATAATTGGAAGTGGCTTTCACTGAGTTTCTTGATTTATGTTTAAATTTATGTTTGCAATAAGGAAAACAAAACATTGAATGCAAACAAAACATTAAATGCTGTATTACACAAGTGTAATTGATTGTGAACATTCAATAATTAACAATTTACAAGAAATCAAACATACCTGCTTTCCATATCACCATACATTGGTCGAAAACTGTTGTAACCACCATATGGGGAGCCCATCCCCATTCCTCCCATTCCATATCCTCCTCCGTATCCTCCATAGCCTCCCATTGCCCCCATGCCGTATCCACCGTAGCCCCCCATGGTCCCCATACCATATCCTCCCATTCCTCCATAAGAGTATCCTTGATTCATCCCATAACTTTGCTGCATTCCCATATCAGGCCTTGGGGGCAAAGCAGGGGGACCCACAGCACCAGCCGTAGACGTAGATGGCATTGGGTTTATAAACGACGGCGCATTTCCTAAATCACGCGTAACACCAACGTTAGATAAACTCGGGTCAGAGTTTACTTCGAACTCCTTCGCTGGTTCACTCATTTTATCACTGTATTGTTACACGAGAGATTACTCCAAAATAATAATCTTTTGTGTAAAGACGTATCACAGGCAGAGGCACTGATAAGCAAAATATTATTTTTTGCTAAATTATCAGTCTTGGAGAAAGATTACGATTTTATTTACGCAAGAAAGAAGTCAAGATCTCTCTGACAGTTGAATGAAAACTAAAATTGACAAATTTGACAGCTTTGATTGTCACGAAAGCGGAAGTGGATAGTGCTTGACGTTGGTACCATTTGGCATACTCGCACTGGTATCGGTTTTCGAATCGGTATCAATATTTTTACGACATGGGCGCAGTCGTAGAGGGGTTAAAAGTTTGACAGATCTCTTGTACTCAAAAAAAATTTTGTTTGTCTATGGTCTCGGGTGTCTTGCTTGTCTGTCAATAAATTCAGATTTCTAATAACTTTGTTGTTATTTCCGCGATTATTCGTTAATTTTCTCAAGAAAGTTAATTTTATAAGTGTATGTGTAGTGTTCAGTTTACCAAGGTATGTATTATCGATGACTATCGTGGCGTATGTAAATTATTGTGTCATTAATTACATCGCAAACAGTGCATTTTGCTGTGTAAGGTTTACGGGTATTTCTCCTATTCATGTTTAGTAATTATTAATAAAATATTATTTACTACGTGGTCTACAACGTCTAGAGTGTTATGTGTACCTCACACTCTTATTATTGCTAAGTTTTTGTTAACTAATGCAATTTGAAAGCTGGCACTCGTCGACCGGTTTTCGGTTGAATATTTCAGTCGGTGTCGCTCAATCAGCACCAATTACTCTAGTTTTGTAGATAAAGTGCCACCAATTATGTCGGGTAACTGCTGACGCTGCTTGCATGCGTGGAATTGCGCGGCAATTCTCTTAAGAAAGAGCTGACACTTCTTGCTATGCATTGCAAACTTGATCATATTTTTGACCTATTAACTAGGTATGGACCGGATTTCTGCAATTGCTATTCAGCTACTGCAATTGCTGCATTATCTACATAAATATCATACCGGAAGTCAAGTATGCTGTATAAACTCGGTGTATAAATAAAGAAGTTTATCTGTTTATCATGCAGTTGTAGCATGTATGTACAAATGATAGAATATATAGCGAAACATTGGCACCTTATGCTGTTGTATTAGAGGCTATTTTTCAACAAAATATTAGGCGGTGACTAGGTATATGTTGATTTACATGCTAATAAGTTGCAAGGATGTTTTCATTCATTAAATTGTTTTGCATTGATTTGAAATCTGTATTTACTTGTGTGATTGAGAAAAAGTAACGATATTTTTTTCATTTTGTAATTTCTATCAGACCTATTTGTATTGATAAAATCGTTTTTTGTTTGCTCTTATGTTTTCTTTATAATTTATAAATAACTTTTTAGATGATCCAGAATGTAATCCATCAAGATCTCTTCGGGTCGATCAATATATTACTTTCTCCATGATATGAAAAATAATTTAAAACTAGGTTACTTCTTAGCCTAATAATTTAATATACTAATATTTTTTTATGCTCCATGTGCCAAGTTTAAAGTGGAATAGATTCAAGCATTATAATATTGTGTGATGTGTGTGACATTACCTTTATACAAGGTAGGTAAACACTTGCATTTTTTTAAATTGTGATAGGTACTATTCTTGCAACAATAATTGTACTATAAGTAGTCTGACACTGCCAGATTTGTCTAGCACTAGCAATAGTAGCAATAGAGGACACTTATTCCCTTACAATATGAGATTCTACTAACCTTCCTATAGTACGAGAGCCCACGACCAAAATTTTTGTCTCATAGCAATACGGCCAAAACCGCATCAAATCGATAGATACGATTATCCTGAACTCGAAAATACCAATATCAGACATTTTCCGCGTAGCGTTTGATCTGACCGAATTTTCAAAATTGTCAAAGAATTTTACCGAACTGCATCATAGCAATATGTCTGATTTGCAGACTGTAGTTGAATGATAGTTCTGAGATACCGGAAACATATTTTTCAGACGTTAGTGGTGTAGCGCAAACCCGTAAAATCACTTAAAAAAATTAAAAATGAGACAAAAAAAATGTCTCAAAGCAATACGTCTGAAAATCTTTTTTATTAGTAAATTTTGGTTATTTGATGCGAACAAAACAATTTTCAGACGGAAATGTGAACGCATTAAATTTTGAGACCGTTTTGAAAATGTTAACAAATTTTACCGATCGGTATCATAGCAATATGTCTGAAAATTGTTGGACATGATAAAATAAGTTGTCCACATGTGCAAAAAATTTATATCAGACAAATTAAGTGTAGCACCTTCTCTATCAGACAACTTTTCGATACTCAGATATCATTTAAAAATCGTATTGAGGCATCTTGAATTTTCTGTTACAAACCAATGAATACGTTGCGACCCTGAATTTATTAGATGATAATTAACAAAGAATTTACCCGAAACCGTAACATTGAAGTTGAATGACTGAATTAATCGCACAAAAGGAAACTGGGATGAAGTTGAAAAAAAAAAACGGTTTATTCAAAGTTACTAAATATTCTCGTATTCAATCGCTGTCGGATTCGGAATCGTCGTCTTTGGAATCACTCTCGACGTCGCTCGGGAGATCTTCAACGTCCTCTTCTGTAAAATTAACATCGTACATATAATAGACAAGGGAGATTCTTGAATATCTATGAAGGCTGTAAATTTAAAAAAAACATTTAACAGAGGCGTCGGCCAGGCGACTCCGAAACGTTATTTTCGTTTTTGGGAGTATATGCTACACTTAAAGTGTCTGAAAACAGGTTTTTGGTAATCATGGCAGCAATATGAAAAGTTGAAAAAAATAATTATCCGTATTGCTATGATACAGGTCGGCTAAATTTGTTGACATTTTCAAAAATGCGCTCAGGCTATATGCTACGCGCAAAATGTCTGAAAACAAACTTTTTCGTAATACCATTATAAAATCTATGTACATTTTCACTATCAGACGTATTGCTATAATACCGACTGTCTTTTTTTTTTGACACAGCAGAAATGGCCTCCCACGCAGTTGCTACACTTTCGACCGTTACTACACACCTAGTCGGGTTCAGAATCATACAATCTAACGATTTTATAGGGTTTTTGCCGTATTGCTATGAGACATGGTTTTGGTCGTGGGCTCTCGTACTACTAGTATAGTATAGCAATATGCACTGTTTTCAAATAACCAACTTCTTTGTTTTTTATGCATAACAAGGCAGTTATTGACGACAATTGCACCTGATGTTAAGTTAGTCTAAAATAGGTTCAAAAGTACATTATCCAACAGCATACCTCCTAATCTCCTTGCACATTTAAAGCATGGCAACCCTAATATCGTAATTTCCGCGTCTGTCCACTAGAGCGCAGCACTGTTGCGGGTAGATGGAGCAACAATGAAAAATAGGGTAGCAGGCCGACAGATATTGTTGATAATAACATTTCCACGCGGCAACTGGAAATTAAATTTTAGTGGGACGCTACTCCCGTTATAGATCGTTTAATCCACGAAGACGCGCCCCACCACTTTTTGGTCGAGGGAAGCGCGGGGTGCGGGGAGTTTGATCCATTATAATGTGCATGTGCACATTGTGCACTCATGGATGCGTCACGCTCGACAAGCACACTACAATAATGACTGATTTCTCGGTCAAACTCCCCGCACTCCGCGCTTCCCTTGACCAAAAAGTGGTGGGGCGCGTCTTCGTGGATTAAACGATCTATATCGGTTTTGAACCATTAATTCGATATGAAATTGTCTGAAAAAAAATGGAAAATACATATCAAAGGCAAGCATTATGTTTCAAACTAGGGCTTAAAATAGCATTAACTTTTTGAAAGGACTAGTTTTCATTCCAGAAAAAGGGGCAGGCTGCCAGTCCCCGGTTGACAATTTCATTTTATTTAGGGCATACGAGCATTTGACCTCTATGAAACGAGACGCTAAAATATCAAAAATTACTCAATCGCATACATACATACGCCCGACACCTCCGTGCTTTAGCAACTGCACGTCATCATATTTTTAGAAATTCTCAAGACTTATTGAGATGTAGAGAGCGTTAGTTTCGTAACGCTCGTAACTTTTAGCTAAATAGACCTATCTTATGTCCAAGCGTGTACTATCGTAAATGTTTTAAAATGAATTGTAAAAAATATGAAATGCCCACAACAAAGCAGGCTTGTCGCTTCCGTCGCACGATGCAGTCGGTTTCATTTCCGCGCTACAAGAAAAATGGGCTAGCGGGTTGACGCGACAATTTCATTCCGTTTTCTGCAGTGTGAACACGATATTTCGTTCTTACAAATGATTGCACTTTATAGTATCTTAGAGTTGACTATGTCGGTGTGAGATTGCTCGCGTAAACTGATACTTATTTTGTGAGAAATTTTAGGCACTTTTTCGAACAGAAAAAAAATCATACAAATACCTTTATGCCTTCTTCATAACATTAATTGTCATTATTTTTTCAGGTGAAACGCTGGTTTACCGAAAAGATCCAGTTGGTAAGTACCTAAACTGTAATTTTGAATTTTGGACTATTTTAAATAACAATATTATGTACTTATTAAATACATTTATTTCCATTTAGGTATATGTAAGGTTTAGCACAGTGCATTATGAAAATCAATATTTGTCCGATATTTTAAATATGTTTATTATGTCCAATAAATACCTACCATCAAAATAAAAATAGTAGGTATACTCGTAATTATATTAATATACAAAGTATACAAACTATGTAGGTATATTTAAATATTCTTAATTAATTTTCTATTTTATCCTTTGAAAGCGGTTTTACGGAATCTTAATAGAGTTACTTTATACGTATAATACAAATGAATAAAAAATATAATATGTATAAGATTCGTACATACTTTTAACATTCCTGTTTATTTATTACATCAATTAATTTAACAAAGTTTAACTCTGCAGTTAATGGAAATCCAACAAGACGAAAACAAAAT